TATTGTCTGTGTCCATGGGTTATGGATATATGCATATAAGTTCTTAGGTTAATCTCTCCCTACCCACCCACCCCACCTTCCCTCTGAGGTTGGTCAGTCTGTTCCATGCAAAGTAGAATAGAGTTATATTAATGTTAATAGTTAGTTGGAGTAATTTATAATTTTAAATAACTTGGGTAGACATGTGGCATCTATTTGTACTTTTGCCCTAAATCTTGCTAACATTAGTGGAGGGCCTATATACAGACTCAAGTTTTTTGTGCAGTTAATATCCTCTCCATAAATGACTTTCCTGGGTGAGCAGATCTGTGCTTGGCAGGGAGACCTTTGTACAGGATAGGGCAGCCCAGTGCACCCTCTGTCTTGTGATGACTAACACGAGACAGGGGCCATAAAGATAGTGGTTTTGAATGCCCTCAAGAGAAGGGAGTCCTTCCAGTGAGTAGAGACAGGTTTATTGACATTGGTAATCTGGGGCTTGAAGCCAGACCCTCAAGCTCATCACTCAGAAACATTGGTTTGGATACATAGAGCTCCCCATGCCAAGGAGGTGGTTGCAAACAATTTTCAAATCAGATAGGAAATGTAAGAGTTATGTACATTTTCATATTTTTAGATTAAACCCCAAAACCCAGCAATTCCACCTTTAGGTATATATTTAAAGAAAACTAGAGTGTGCTCTAAGCCTTTATTAAGTGTAAAAGAGATTATTTTTATGTTCTGAAGGATATTTGGAGATAAGATTTAAACACATAAAATAATTACTTATCAATTGCATCGCACATGTGCCCCAGGAGACACATACAAGAATATTCATAGTGGCATAATACAGTAAATACATAAGTAACCCAAATCTTCATCGACAGTAGAACTGATAAATTTTAAAATATTCATACAATGGAAGACTCTACAGCAATTAAAGTGAACAAACTACAGCTACATATTCAACATAGATGAATCACATAATTTTGAGAGAAAGAAGCAAATTATAAAATACATCATGATTCCATTTCCATAAAGTTCCAAAACAAGCAAAACTAAACACTATGCATATATAGTTGGTAAAGTGTAAAGATTGGAAGAGAACCAGTATCAGAAGTCATGAGAGTGGTTCCTGAACCAGGGAAGCAGGGGCATGCGATTAAGGAGGGCATGTAAAAGCCTACCTTCTAGGGCGCTAGCAATGTCATGTTTCTTAACCTGGGTCCACTTAAACTAATTATAAATCTGGGAAGCACAACTTCGATGTAGTTCAGGCGACAAATATTTTGGAGTATTTGCTGATTACAAGTTTAAAATGAGCAAATTGGAAGCAACTGCTGGAAAGCACTCACTTTGTGCTTTATTAATAGTCACGGTGTGGCTCAGTTGGTTGGAGCCCCATCCCATACACCAAAAGTTGGCAGGTTTGATTCCCGGTCAGGACACAGGTTCAATTCCCCAGTCATGGCTCATGTAACCAATCAAGGTTTCTCTCACACATCGATGTTTCTCTCTCTCTTCCCCCTCCCTCTCTCCCTTCCTCTCTCTAAAGAAAAAAAATAGAGTCACAGAGTGTACATTATAGGAGGTGATACCTCTCCTGCACTTTACCCTGATCAGGTCACATCAGCTGTGTTAGCTGTGTTTGTAGCTGTGTTGGTTGTGTTTGTTCTCTCTCTGTCTGACCTAGATTCTCAA